TTTTGTCTAATGCCTAATCTTTTTTTGACCTTTAACTTAGTTATCTTTTTTTTGAGACTTTTTTTACTTTCCAAACTTGCCGGGACTTCTACAAATGAATGATACTCTTCTTGAATATTAATATTGACAAAATTATTGTCAAGTAAATAAATTTTTTCTAATTTGGGACAATTAGTAATCTTTATGCTGGCTGCATTATTGTAGAACAATCCTATTTCCTTTAAGTTTTGTAAATCGGAAATCTTTAAACTAGCGAAATTTCCATTAAAAAAAGCCACTTTTTCCAAATTATTAAATCCGTTCAAATTCACACTAGCCCCGTTCAAATTGCGAAATATTACTTCTCTAACATTTTCTCTTATTCCAGGCGGGTACGTAGTGTTTATATATAGTTTAGCGTCCATAATAATAATTTTTTTAAAAAACAAAATTGTTAAATTAGGTTAAAAAAAAGATTATGAAAGGCGAAGTCTTACCGAAGGTTAAATATTTGTGTATTGACCCGTCCGGAACTGGCACTACAGGAATATTCTTTTTTTCAAATAATAAACCAAAATCTCTATTTTTTGAATATCAAAGTAAAAAATGAGAGGAACATTTGAATTTTATTGTAGATTTAGTGAAAGAACAAAAACCCGAAATTATTATTTATGAAAATACTACTTACATTTATGGTCGGCAGCACCAAGGGACTGTAGGCCTCTATAAATTGATTGGAGGCATTATGGCTTTGAAATATATTTTTGATTTTATTCATAAGATAGATAGTGTGGCAGTTAATCAAGTTAAATTGTTTAAGAATAAACTTTTTAGTGGTCAGGAAAAAATTGAGAGTCTAACTTGTAAAGTGGGGCGGGGTAAAGGTTGAAAATACCGGCAAAAAAAAATCAGTTTACACCAACTAGATGCTCTGGTAGTTTATCATTTGTGAAGTGGCGGCAGTTTGGAAAGTAAAAAAAGTCTCAAAAAAAAGATAACTAAGTTAAAGGTCAAAAAAAGATTAGGCATTAGACAAAA